CTGGGTGGTGTATTGTTTGGGATTGTATTTGGATTTGTTTCAGCATTCATGACTCGATTCACCCACAACGTCTCTGCAATCGAGCCCCTGCTGGTCTTCATGTTCAGCTACCTGTCATACTTGTCTGCTGAAACCCTTTACATCTCTGGCATTTTGGCGTGAGTATTCCTTATGGCTTTTTGGATGACCTCTTGAAGGAAGTGGCATGGTTTTGTTCAGGTGGTTTGCTCAAGGTTGGTACAACACAGGCTTAGAGGTCTGCAGTGGACAGCTTCTAGGAGATCTGTAAAATGCAATGGTAACTAGGAAATGCCTACAGTTAGCGTAGGAATAGATGTGATACCAAGGAGTGTTGGCAAAAGTACTGCAAGCTGTGAGTAAAGTAACCAGTGCTGCTACCGTCTGTCTGCTACCTCTGATAAGATCAGCAGGAAGAGAGAATGATTTGATAATACACCACTTTATCTGTATCTATTTCTAAGCAGCATCACCATCAGATCACAAGAGAGACATAAAGCAATGAGTATGGAAAACATAATAAAGAATGTCATAGTTTTTGGTTTTGTATACAGATGTGAACATCACCTCTAACACAATGTACTGGAATTACATTACATTTGGACAGCATCACTGGGATTGAAACTGGGCAGAACCAGACAACTGAGAACATCAAATACACACGCATACATACACTCATGTATATGGATATTGACAATCATATTTTGATGTGGTCAGGATAGTTTGATACTGCTGTAATGCTGGGGACCACTTCCTTAAAGTACTGTGTTAGCATGGGTGCCCACTGCAGAGAGAAAGCTGGCAGGTCTGTCAACTGGAGATGCAGAGAGAGTGAGTATTGTGGAAAGGAAAAATGGTGGAAGCAGGAAGGGAGTCAGAAAAGAAAGGAAGGAGTAAGGGTGGAAGTGAGAGACTTTAGGAGAAAACTGATGTCAGGTGACTTTCAAGGATACAACAGCAAACAGGCTGTGAGCAGGGTAGAGGATATAGAAATGGGAACCTCATTGTGCTATGTGCTCCAGATGGTGCTGCTAGCTGCTGTAGGCTCAGTGCCCAACTCGTGGATAGGAGCAGCCTTGCATGGCCTGTGGTGGCTCTGAGCTTTCATAATGGGTCTTGGAGGATCTGCTGTTCCAGAAAGGACACCCCTTTATTGAGAACAAACCAGTTTAAACATAACAAATGCAAGCATATAGTTGCTGATGTCCAGACAGGTGCATTTACTCACCACCACTTGTGAAACAGTGATTTCATAGAACAACAGGTTTGGGTTGGAAAGGACCTTTAAAGGTCATCTAGTCCAACCCCCTGCAATGAGCAGGGACATCTTCAGCTAGATCAGGTTGCTGAGATCCCCATCCAAACTGATCTTGAATGTTTCCAGCATTGGGACATCTGCCACTATTCTGGGCAAGCTGTTCTAGTGTTTCACCATTCTCATAGTAAAAAAGTTCTCCTTATATCTAGTCTAAATCTACCTAAATCTTTCAGTTTAAAACCATTACCCCTTGTCCTATGGCAATAGGTGCTACTAAAAAGTTTGTCCCCATCTTTCTTAAAGGCCTCCTTTAAGTATCAAAAATTTGAAATGAGGTCTCCCTGGAGCCTTCTCTTCTCCAGGCTGAACAATGCCAGTTTGTTCATCTTCAGAGCAGAATTGGCTTTGTAAAAAACTACCTTTTCAGGATGACCCTGGGAAGAAATATTTGAATATTTAAACATACTAAATAAGTAGTTATACAGGATATAGGTTATCTTGAGAAATTAGACAAGACAGATGAGTCTTGTACTATGTTTTGCATATCCAACATATTTGCCCAGATTGAGGTGACTGGCAACTTTAGCTGAGCAGGGTGAGACCTCCTATGCTATGCAGGTGGTGCTAATACCTTATCTACCCTTTCCTACCTGCACTGCCCAAAATACTGCTTGCCTGCCTACCCATTGCACTAGACTACATAGCTCTTTATTTTTTTTAAATTCTTATTTTTATTAGAGTTCTGAAATTATTAGTAATATAAGAATGTTAATGTAATTGGGATTTATTATTCTTACTGCTTCATTAAGGAAATTATTGCTTGTTTTAGAGATGGGAACTTATTGTCACTCTTCTGAATTATTGAGGATTCATTCATCTTTCACTGGGATCGTGAAAGTCTATTATGCATGTGTAACTGAAAGTCAACAGTATTAATCATTAATGCCTAATGGCCTTGTCTTGGAGTGTCCTTGGACATGCTAAATGACTCAGCTCCACCATGATATCCTTGAGATTTCTTCAGTGGAAATTAAATGAGCGGAAACTAGAGGGAGGTTATTTAATGAGCAGTCAGCATTCTCTGAATTCAGAAATTTGAAAAAATATAATCACAAGAAGCCCCCAAAGAATAAAATCATATCAGTAGAAACTAGATAGGTGATGGAATATGTTACTAGCACTGCACTCAATCTATTTATTACCTATGACTATGCAAAAGGTAGGGGAGAAGAGGGAATCCCCTTCAGTAGGACTGCTTGAAGACTGCTGCTCCATGTGAATGTCACCAGTGTCTGTGCTGGGTGGCTGCTGATACTTCTGAAGCAAGCTCTAGTCTTCATTAACAGTGAAGAAGTGGAAAACATCCCTTTGCTTCCTTAGGCACCTTCCTCACACCCTAGGTAACTAAAAGGGGAAGGACACTTCTGTAGGACAACTGAATTTCCACCTGCTGTACAACAATGGGTTACTGTGGGTGGAGAGTCCTGAAGCTTGGTCTGGCACTGCTGATCTACCAGTCAGTTGTCCAGGAGCCACTGGGAGCTTTGGCCTTGGCATGGCACTACCACCGTTTTCTCCCACCTCAAAGGGGAAGATCACTAAGAGGCAAGTTATGTTCCTCTAACTGGTACAAAACCAACCTGCCCTTTGTTTGAGACAAATATTTGGTGCTTGGTGACTCTGTGTTAGGAATTCAGGATAAAATGGACTTTGAACTGGAACATGATATCCTCACTTCCTCATTAGGAAGGCTGACTGGTTTGCTTCCTTTATCCTGTATGTAAAACAGATTTGTAAAGCTGAATGAAGATGCTTTTCTATCTAACGAAATAGCTAATGTAACTGAAGAAATAAAATTCTTCTTGATATTAGGAAGGTCAGAATCTGGTGATGGAGAGTGCAGGTAATGATGGTTGAGGTTGTTCTTAACCAAAAAGAAAAACAGGCTGATTTCTGATGTTTTTCTTGATACAGGATGACAGCATGTGCAGTGACAATGAAAAAATATGTGGAGGAGAATGTGTCCCAGAATTCTTATACTACAATAAAATATTTCATGAAGATGCTAAGCAGCATCAGTGAGACCCTGATTTTTGTGTTCATGGGAGTTTCTACAGTGGGGAAAAACCACGAGTGGAACTGGGCCTTCATTTGCTTCACTCTGCTCTTCTGCCTCATTTGGCGGACACTGAGTAAGTCAGCTTTTGCAGAAAACCTTCTCCACACCTCAGAGAGAAACCCTTGGGTGCAAAGGTATGTTAGAAAAGTCTGTGTAGACTGTCACAACTGGTTTATCTTACTGACAAGCATGTTTCACAAATCTACATGTGGAGAAAAAAATAGAAAAAAGCCCCAAACAAATGTGACTGTCAGTCTCCAAGCACAGACTTCATGTTTAGGTGAGAATGAAATATTTTAAGCAAAATAAAATATTATCATGATTATGCTTATAGAGATGCTTGTATCTTAGTTAACTATATGCCTTTGGTAAGTGGGCCTCATAATGATTTCATCACACACTTGCATTAACTAATTAGATAATGTATATCATCACACTTCTAGTGCTATAGGTCCTACTACGGGTCCTGGGCCAGGAGTACTGGAGACATATAAAAAGAAGGAAGGTGAAAAGAAGGAAGGTGAAAATTAGCACTGATAGATAACTGAATAGGGACTTATACCATATGTAGGTCAACCAACTATGCTACTGCTCCTCACAAGTCAACTCTGAAGTTTTAAACTGGTAGAAAATAGTGCTTGTATGAAAATACTGCACTTTCACACATGGTATCTCCCACTCCTGCAAAGGTCTCCTAGTCCCTGATCTGTGAGACTGGGGTTCCTGCAGCATGGGCAGGACAGTTTATAGATAATTTCACATGACTTGTGGGATACAGGTGCTCATCGCCTCCTAATGTCCAGGATGGGTTGAAAGTTATGTTGAAAAAGGAGAAGCAATAAGGTAGCTGGTGGTTGGTGTTCCGGAGGTGATAGCAATCCTGGTATGCCTCTACCAAGAGCTGCTCTTGTGCCTGTTAGCGAGTTTACTGCAACTGTGGAAGCAGAGAGGCAACATATTCCCATCTTCTCCCTCATCTACTAGTACTGTTCTGCCAAGCTTTCTAGAGGACATAAGGAAAGAAGGAATGACCTACTGGGTCAGACCAACCATCTACTGGTGTCTTCAATGGATCCTGCAGGAGACACTAATTACAAGCCTTGCCATTTTCTGAGGTTTATTCACCTTCTATTTCTCCAGGACCCTACAGTCTCTATGATAGAGATGTGAGAGGGTACAGTTCCTGCCCGTGCCACATAGAGGTCTCTTTTTGATTGGTAGCCCACGAGATTATGACTTCCTTTTTGGAGCCTTAATACTCTATTCTCACAGAATTTCATAGAATATTCTGAATTAGAAGAGACCCATGAGGATCATCAAGTCCAACGCTAACATGAATGGCCCATATAGGCATTGAACCCACTACCCTGGTACTATTAGCACCATGCTCTAACTGACTGACCTAAGCTGATTGCATCAGGTTAAGTTACAACTTAAAGTAAACACATTTACTCCTGGAGAGGTGATGAATTATGGAACACACTCTACTGAGGCACTGTTATTTGCCACTAGCTAAAAATATGAGTGAACAATGTTTTTGAAATTAATGATATTTTGGAAGTAGTACACATAACAGGGTCAAAAACACAATTATGTAGGCAACCTTATTTTTGACATTTTTAAACTTCTGAGTACCTGAATTTTCCATCTTAAGAGCATTCTTTTTGAATTTCAGTGGCTTTTTTTCAGAGTAGTTTATAATTTTAAAGAAAATGAGAAATCCAAATATTCTATCAAGAAGCCTTGGAGGAGGTATTCTGAGCACTGAAATTAGGCTACCTTGGCTAAGTTAGTAGGTTGATTCCCCCATGGTTCACTTATAATCAAAGGAGTACCCTCTGCAGCATGCAGTGGGGCAGAAATCTATATTGATCACCTGCCACCACCTCCTTCAGCCATTTGCCCCACTTATATTCCCTTTACGTTTGGAGCTGGTGGCTAATGGCATCCCTTGGGGAGATGAGATCAATTTTTTAAGTCTTCCTTAATGACCTGGATGAAGGAACAGAGTGCACACCAAGTGATTTTGTGGCTGATAGAAAACTGCATGGAGTAGTCAATATTTTGGATGACTTCCATTCAAAGTTACCTGGACAAACTGGAGAAAGAGGCAGAAGGCTTATGAAGTTCAAGAGGAGCACGTGCAAGGACTGTCATGTGGGTTGGAATAACTCCGTACACTAGTATAGGCTTGGAGTCTAATGAGCAGCTCTGCAGAAAAGGGCCTGGTCTAGTAGCCAATAAGTTGAACACAAGCCAGAATTATGTCCTTGTGACAAAGAAGTTCAGACGTGTCCTGGTCTACATTAGCAAGTGTAGCAGGCAGGCCCAGCAAAATGTTTCTTATCCTCTCTTCAGAACTGGTGAAAATGTGTGCTGCTTTCAGAGTGCTTTCCAGTTCCAGGCTACCCACTGTACAAGAATATGACAGTTCTGGATCAAGTGCTGTTGAGGCCACCAACCTGGTCAGAGGTTGGAGCACTGGACATACAAGGAATGTCAGAGAGTGCTGAGTATGCAGTCTGGAGAAGATCTGGCACAAAAGAGAACTTACTACTTTCTACAAGTACCTCATCAGAGGAGACAGAGAGTAAGATGGATCCAGACGCTTCTCAGAGGTGTACAACAATAGGGCACAAGGAACAAACACAACCTATAACATAGGAAATTCTTATTAGACAGTAGGAACCCGCATCTTAACATGAGGGTAATCCATTACTATAACACTGGACCAGCCCTCCATTCCTAAAGGCATTCAAGGAGCTTTGAGCACCCTGATCTGATTAGCTCTGCTTTGAGTAGGGACTTGGACTAATTGAACTCCAAAGGTCCTTTCCAGCCTACAGAACTCTGATTCAAACATCTGGGACCAGATACGTCAAACATCTGAGATTAAGGTCCTATTTCTTAAATCTGTTGGGTGGTTTATTCCCCAGTCAAAAAGAATGTCAGAGCAGGAAGAAGATGATGGTTTGAACTTCAAAGCCCATACACACTTCAAGACTTTGATTTTTGTCTGGGAGCCCCAGAGAAAGCCATTTAACAGAGGAAAAAGAGAGAAGAGGAAACCTGTGAAGGTTCAAGTATGTGCCTCTGAACAACTCATATATAGGGAAGACACAAATACTCGACAGTAGAGGTGATATGATTCTTGTGGGTTGACAGCAAAAACAAAGTAATTACATATTTTCTTGCTATTTCTGGACCAAGCATGGCCTCTAAGTTTTTCAAGGCTTGCTTTTGGAGTCCATTTTGAAATATCATTCCAATCAAGACAGAAACAGTGCTCTCCTGATATGAAAGGTATTTTCCTGCCACATGTCCATCCTTCTCTCAGACACCAAGGGGAGTGCTAGAGCTTTCCAGAAGGCCAAAATATTTTCTGCTAAACCTGTGTGTTAAAATGATTACACATTTTTTTCTGAAGCTTGAATAAAGCTATCACCTGAGGGTGATACCTCACATATGCAGTTTCAGTCTTAGTACCTGATGTCTAGCACAGTTATAAATAGCCAAAAAAGGTCTTGCATAAAGTGGTATCCAGCAACCTACATAACAGCATACTGCTATTGTCTTTACCGCTAATAATCTGAGTTTATCTATGACAGCTGTGTAAAATAACACCAGCAATTACCAGCATTTGTCAGCTTTTATGTCAGTAATCTACCAGTTTCCACATAAAACATAGGATATATGTTTCTTATGGAAGACGAAGATTAAGAGTAAATCAAGCAGATTGCTGGAAGTACTCTATAAACAAAAGTTGCAATCCTTACACTTACTGTTTTTAATTTTTATTAAACAGAGAAGTAGAGACAGAATAAGCCAGAGGACTGAAAATTAAAATGCTATTACTCTTTGCCTTTTAGTGAACCTGTCCACAGGACTTATTGGTAAAGCACTATTCAAACACTTTGTACAGACACTGTGCAGAAAGCAGGAAACATTGCAAGGGTAGGCACAGGAGAAACTCTCATCCAGTCATTTTTCTTGTCTCCAGAACACTTTGGAGAAAACTATGAGACATAAATATAGAAAGTAAATCTTTTGCCGTAATCTCACTACTAAACTGTATAAATGGATTTAAATCCTGAAGCAGTTATGAACCACCATCTTTTATATGAGGTTATTTCACATGAACCAGATTCAGCAGTTGGTCAAAGAGAAGCTACAAAACCACAAAACTGAAAAAAATGGGCTGTCAACAGTTCCCTGAGCCAAGATATTTTGCCTTTAATATTTTCATTTTCTCCTTGATTAATAATAATAGTTGTGGGGTTTTTCCCTTCCTAGGTGTATTTGCTCTCTTCTACATCAGTAACAAGTTCCGAACATATCCCTTTACTGTCAAAGACCAGCTCATTATTTCCTACAGTGGCCTTCGAGGAGCCAGCAGCTTCTCTCTTGCATTCTTGCTTCCAGTGCATCTCTTCCCCAGAAAAAACCTGTTCATCACTGCTACTCTTGTAGTTATATATTTCACTGTGTTCATCCAAGTAAGTATATTTCTTAATGGATTGCTTTCATGTAATAGAGGTGTCTGAAAGCTTCATAGTGAAAATTGCATTGAATTTACTTCTAGACTAGGACAAGCTATTGCATTTTATGGACAGATTTAGCACTTCAATGTGTAATTACCCTTTCAGGAAATTTTACAGAAATCCTGTACTGAAAAAACATGTCTTCTAAAATATTCAAGGGAAAGGGCACTCTGTGTTCAAAGTTATGTTCACTCCATATGCATTTCCTGATGCTTCCAATTTAAGAAGTATTTTAACTTTACACCAAATCATTCTTTACTAGTGATGTATCCCAAACTGACCAGGAAACAGTACGTCTCTTCTAAGACGGATTTTGGATTTTATACTTTTATCTTCATCCATCTTGGAGACCAAATAAGAGTATTTTGAAATCCTTTTTAAAAGAATACTAAAGAAAAATAAAGTGAATAATTAATATTTGCAAGTATAGGTGTCTACTTTAGATATTTGGGTTATTCCACCTAGTTTACACTGCTGTACCTGGAAGAACTGAATTTTCCAGAGGTCTTGCATCCCATGCTCTATATTTTCCCACACCGAGATCTCAGATACTATGGGTGCCAATGGGGCACTATGTACTTGTGATAGGTAAAGCACTTAGACTTCAACAGAATGTTTCAGGAAAAAACCCCACATTTTGTTTCTATTTCTCCTTTTAAAGTGCTATTCTGTATCAGTACAGTAAAGAATTGGGAACAACTGAAAACTGTTTCCAAGTGAAGCTCCCCCCCGCCCCTCCCAAAGATACTACTTCTAAAAATGTTAAAATAAACAGCTTCAAGATTGCAAGACCTCACAAAGATAATGTTTTCTTTCAAATGAGTCCTGTTTAAAAAAAAAATTGGCAATGAGTCAGTTACTTTACATAGTTAGAATATGCCAAAAAATATAATCTCGTTTAAAGAAAACCCTTAAAGAAAACTTTTTTAAAGTTTTTGATTTTAATTCTCTTTTATAGCTCTCCATGCAAACAATAGTTCATTTGTGTGTCTAAGACACAGCTTTCCTAATTTATCAAAATTAAACCATTTTGCTTTCTTTCCCTTTTTTTCTGAAAGATAACTAATAATTCAACTCACTATTCCAAATGCAGGGAATCACAATTGGACCATTGGTCAGATATCTGGATGTCAAAAAGACAAACAAAAAGGAATCTATCAATGAAGAAATACATGTGCGAGTAAGTTTTTTATATCAGTAGCTGGTATCCCAAAAAAGATAGAGGGAGGCACCTGGAAGCGCTGGCATTCACTGGATTTGGACACTCAATGCTTTTAAGATACATGGAGGAAACCTTAGGCATAATTTTCTAAAATATGATATCTCATTTATACTCATAGTGACTATCATATTATAAGATCAAGTCACAAATGTCACGTTGTAGCAAGTCCTTACTTCTTGGTTCTTGTGACCGTGGGAGGACAGAAGCAGAAAGGTAAAGTTTACAGAATGAACTCACAATCCTTCCAATATAGATTTGTCAGCTACATTTGTTGCCATCTTTTGACTGTTTCTAGACAGACTGACACCTCCAAAGTCTTTAATCAAGTTTTATTGAACTATAATGAGTTGAACCATTGGACTTCAAATTTAGTTTCAAGTTATTCCGAGTCATGATCTTTCCCCTTGCAAACATTTACTTTAGTTCTCGAATTGCCATTATATAAAACAACAGAAAGCTGCTCAAACTGACTTAACAATGTTATAGAAAAAGTATGTACATTCTTTCATTTTCCCAGTAGGGGATAAATTAATGGAAATTAATTAATGAAATTAATGGAAACACTGACTTAAAATGAAGCATATGCAGAGACATTAGCAAAATTAGAGCATATCAACTGATTTGAATTTGAATTTAATTCTTAGTATTTCAGCCTTTACATTTAACCTTGAAAAGAATTTACATTTAAAGCACCACTTATGACAATATGCCTGTAAGAAGTGGCCTTTTTCTGTCTGTCTCTGTAATGCTAGTAATACACAAAAAATGACTGAAAAACATTGTAGTTAGCAGTCATAAACTTACCAGCCTCATAACAATCTCAAAAATCCTCAGAGAACTTGTCAGTCAAGGCAAAGGTGTTGGGTACCTGGTGCTGTGTCCCTCTTGGAGAGGTCACACATGCAGAAGGGAAGTTTGGTTGACAGAACCAAGAATTTAGCTTTTGGGCTCAGTAGGCAAAAAGAACCAGGAGATTTGTTGCCTCCATCAAAATATTGCAGCCAAGCATAGGAGCTGACACAGTGGGATCTTTGCCTTGATTTTTAGAGAAATGTAGTTGCTTTCAGAATTAACTCACATGCTCCAATAAAAAAAAAAATAAAAAGCCCTCAAAATTCTGTCATCAAATGTGTGTTTGTGGTTACGTTGTTTTTTCATAATGGCCACTTAAAATTTTTCCATGTTTTTTTCTCTAGTTGATGGATCACTTGAAGGCTGGTATTGAAGACATATGTGGACATTGGAGTCATTATCAGCTGAGAGATAAGTAAGCCTAATATAATAAAAGAACCTATCTACCATATAAAATACAATAGGTAAATAAAATAGGAAATCAAAATACTGGGGACATGTGCAATATCTCCTTTTAAAACCTGAACTCCAGAGTAACCCTTGCCTTTTGGGAGTGCAGTGCTCATATATTGACTGCTAATTTGATTCTGCACAAAGAAGCAGAAAATTAGGCTTCCAAAAGCAAAGCAAAGCACGGGAACTCGTGCTGCAAACATCAGCCTGTGCACAAAGTTTTGGTATAAATCTAAGATCCCTGGCAATGCTCCTTTAGCTCTGGATTTAGAACATAAGCTACATAAGGTGTAGTTTCACTGACTTCTGCTGTAAGCCTCCACAGCAAATATGATCCCCTCTTAGTGAGTACAGATTCAGTAATAATTGGTCACCTGTCCTTACAGGTGACCAATTCAGTAATATTTAAAATAAGAGATCTGAAGGGAATGTTTGCATTCAAATGTGCAGTAGCGTAAGCAGATGCTCTCAAGCTAGTCTTCACTCAGAAATGCATGATCTGCATTGTCTCTTCTATAAGCAGGATGAGGTGGTTTTGTGGAGCTTTGGGACTATTCCAAGCACTGCCCAAAAGAGATGGATCTGCTGTGGCCTTTACCTTTTCCCTAAGAGAGCTCTGTGATCATGCTGACCACCACCAAAGCATGTGAAGAGAAGTAGGGGAAAGACTAATCTTTCTTTCCCCCTAACATCTTATTATGATTCTGTGGGCTAAAAATTACTCCTAGTTATTCTAGCTATGCCTAGGTTTCTGTGCTCTAATCCTGTCTGACCTTTCAGCATTGGACTCCAGTAATCCAGCCAGGGTGTCTGCTGGGACTGTGGCAACTCCTTTCATGACTGGGTTTCTCCCTATGGAAACCAGGAATTAAGAGTGGGAAGAAGATGGCTGTTATGAATCCAGTTCTTGTCCTAGTGGAGAGTAATGATGTAATGTACTAGGGCATACCCGGAAGCTAAAATGTCTTCTTGGCTCTGACAACACAGAGATAGTTTTAGGACACCCATCTGCTGGGACCACACCACTGTCTGTATAGACAATAATCTGAACAATTCCCCGTTGGAGTAGTAATTCACTGAAGTAGCTGCATTGACACATATGTTCGAGTAAATGCTATCCCATTGTCTCACGTCTTCCTGATAGCTCTGAAAAGAGAGTTTTGCCCATACTAGCCATAAATGTAGTGTTTTGGTTTAGGGACAGATTCAAAAAACACACTGTGTCTGAAGACACTTAATGTAAGAAGACTGTATTAGAGGTATTCCCTAAACTTTTCTATGCAGCTTTAAAGATGTATATCAGAATTAATTACTTCAGCGATGACAATCCAGGAGGCTTTCTGTTACACAGAAAAACATAAAGAAATCTAATCCCAGTGGAAACGTTTGTGTACCTACCTCTGCTATTTAGGAATAAAAAATAGCCTTTGTTAAGAAAAAAAGATACGATTTCTGTATTGCTGTTCTTAGCATTGTGGAGCACATTACCTCGCTGTGATAAACTATTCCTTTGAAAGAAACAGAACAGTTGTTCTGCTAAAGAGTCACTGTTGTTCTGCTAAATGCTGCCTGAAAGCACATACCTGTTCCAAGGCACACGCACACATTCACATTCAAATTATGCCACATTAGTGATATTTTACAATCTGCAAGCACATAGTATTTTGGGGTCCATTCAATTTCTCTGTTATTCAGAATACAAAGAAATGTATTTTCTCTGCTCTAATTGTCAGGATTCAAAATTATCAGCAACATAATGGGCTCAAACTACTGTAACTACTCGGCCATTTAGAGCCTCATTGGTGGCTGGCTGAATAGACCAGGATTACTGTAAGAGCAGCTGCTGCTGTTATGCCCTACTATAATACAACATTAGTACAAAAGCTGGAGACTGGCCATATTCTTTTCTGACAAATGTGGTGGTGTTATATTCAAACACACACACAGCCCTCTTTTTTTTGCTCTGATTACAGCTTGTTTCTTTCTTTTGTCTCATGGGCTCTGAAATCTCTGTGGACCAGCAGACTATGCCAAATATCCCCCTAAAGGTCTCTACTCACTAGGCCTCCAGGAGCCTCCACAGGTGCCTCTAATTTGGATTCAGTTTGCACCACCGAATTACATGTATGTGCATTTGAATGAAGATTAGCTTGTACTACAGAAAAACCCCACATTCCCTTTTTTTACACTTTGATTTTGGTATCTCTTTTGCAGATTTAAGAAGTTTGACAATAAGTATCTGAAGAAAATTTTAATTCGGCAACACCAGCCCAAATCCAGTCTTTTGTCATTATACAAAAAGATGGAGATAAAACTGGCCATAGAGATGGCTGAGAGTGGCATGAAAATTTCAAAACCATCCACTGCTTCTTTACAGTGAGTATCAACCTTCTGACCCTTTGCAGAGTAGGGAGAGGAAGGAGGGGGACAAAAATGAGGAAATACTCAACGTATTCCATGACTTCAACAGGTAAGAAAAAAAACACAGTTATGAAAAGAGTAGTTGTAATTTGGTGTTCATTATATTTGCACTTTGTCTCTTTGTTCAGAGAGTGAAAATCAAAATGGACATTTTCTCTATTTCTTTTCAATGATGCAAAGTTCTGAAAAGGAATCATGAGTCTGGTGCAGAAGCCACTCTAGCTGCTTTAAATCACAGCAGTGGATCAAGATGGTTGTACTTGCCACTAATCTGCCAGTGGGTTTTGCTCATCCCTGCTAGGTGCTGAGAGACCTACGGGATGGCTTAGCACACAGGCCCTGACTTAATTATCCCAATCGCAAATTTTTGCTGAGAGCAGATTTCTTTGTAGCATTTGTAACTTTTGCTACTCCAGTTTGCAGTCCCTCAAACCATCTTGCCATATTTTGGTACTTCTGTGACAAATTTGTCCAATTAAACATTGAGAGCAGCCCTGTCAATAAGGACTTGAGGGTACTTGTGGATGAAATGCTGGACATGAGCTGGCAATGTACACTTGCAGCCTAGAAAAACAACCATATCCTGCACCAAAAGGAGTGTGGCCAGCAAAGATGATCAGAGGGCTGAAGCACCTCTCCTGTGAAGAAATGATAAGAGAGTTGGGGTTATTCAGCCTGGGGAAGAGAAGGCTCTGGGGAGACCGTATTACAACTTTTAGCACTTAAAGGGAGCTTACAAGAAAGATGGGGACAGGCTTTCTTAGTAGGCTTTGTAGCAATAGGACTAGAAGTAGTGGTTTTAAACTAAAAGAGAACTAGACTAGAAATAAGGAAGAACTTTTTTACAATGAGGGTGGTGAAACACTGGAAGAGGTTGCCTGGAGAGGTGGCAGATGCCCCATCCCTGGAAACATTCAAGTTTGGGTGTGATGGGGCTCTGAGTAACCTGATCAAGTTGAAGATGCCCCCTACTCATTGCAGGGGGGTTGGAACTAGATGCAAATCATTCTATGATTCTAGGAAACAGTAATGCAATTTGGCATCAGACAGACCAGAGCCATCAATGAGGAAACTATCCTCTAGGAGAGAAGTCTGCACAAATCTTGACTCCTGCATGCTATAATTGACATGCATATATTTCTCCTCATTTTGCAACATGCTGTCCAGAGTATGGGTATTGGAGGCACTTGCCTTCACAAACTCTTTCCTGGGGTCTTGCTGACCACTGTTGCTGCTACTGTCTGCTCTTGCCTGCTGCATCGTTAAACCTTTCTGCATTTTGCAGCAGTCTCTGGCAGGGTCCAACATATTTTCCTTTGTGAATGGTCATCTCTACCCATACCCAAAAGTCCAAATACCAACTGGATGTTAAATTAAAATCTTTCTTGAAACTTTGGCTTATTCATGTCAAGATCTTTCTGCTTTCTTGAAACTGATGTCAGCATGCAGTGTAACACCCAGCCCTTTTCTCTCTAAATCATTGTTCACTGAATGGATGATATTAAAAGACTTCATCCCTGTCAGGCTCCTTTCTGTCTGCTGTATTCCCTTAACTCTTCTGAGCCAAGAGAAAATGTGCAAAATTATTAGACAATCCATGGCAATCAAACCATGTCCCTCTTTTTTTCCTGAGGGAGAGAGAAAATAAAACAAATTGCTCCAGTGTAGTTCAGAAATTCTCTCCTGAGCAGAGAATTTAGATTGAAAAATGTTCTATAATAAACAGCTGGTATGATGGAGTAATTTTTGCCAGCTCTACTCTGGATATAATTCAATTTTACTGTGCATCATCTCTGATGCACAGCTTCTCCTACTGAGAAAGCCTTTTTAAAAGTGAAGTGTCAACTTAAAAAACCCCCATAGCCTGTGGCTCAAAAATATTCTGATTCTCACAGACTGTGAGTGTTCTAGGAAAAGACATATTTTCCCAACTCTGTTAATTAATAGATGTCTGCTGTCAGGAGCATTACAGGAGAGAGTATAGTGATCTAGTTGTTGGATCTTTGGTCAGGGCCAGTGCAGAAGTTCTTGTCACCATTTTCCTGAGCAACTAAGTGAACCTATGTAAAAGGTTTCTAAATGTATTTATAGAATGTCTGATTGTTATCGTTGAAACAGCTTGTACCTAAAATCCCTGTCTTCTGTGAGGATACAAACTCTGGCCATGAACAAGATGAGGTTTGAAATAAAATTCCAGTGTATGGCATGTAAAACACTATTAGCAGTGCCAGAGTAGTGAGAAAACTCTCACTTGCACTTCTGATCAGTTTTGCAGCCTTTATGTACACAAGGGGAATTGCATTACAAGAATCAAAACAGATCTCCATTGCTGTGAATTAGCAAAACTGCATTCATGCTGGTGTGATTCCTGCTGTTGGAATGGGTGTCCAGCAAGTATTTTCAGTGCATACTGAAAAAAAAATTGCCTATGGATTGTGCAACAAAGAATCCATTTTGAATGAAAATAGAGCATTTGGTTATGATGTTTTGGAGAATATAAGCCTTAGAAATAAAGAGAGAAATGGCAAAAGCAGAGTCATACAGATATTATCAAAACTGTGGGTTTATGGCTGTTTTTTGGAGGACGTATGCTCATTAGAGAGAAAGATGGTTCGATGCTGAGCTTACTTATTGTTGGCTTTATATTAGTGCAATACTGACTTTGGTAAAATCAATACAGTACAAATGAGAACCAAGTGTTGTGCTGCCATTTGTGGTGGTGCAGTTGTGAGAGAGCTGTGCCTGTTGAATGTTAGTTCCTTCACAGGACTAGTAAAAATTGGTGAGCAGCTTACAAAGTTCAAAATTTCTGATATAATATAAAAAAATATTATTAAACCATTTGTAGAGGTATCAATGTGTCAATGTATCAAGTATAATGTATCATATCAACTATACATCTCCATATCTAAAGAAAGAAGTACTGTCAGGGTACTCATTACAGAGAGACGGTCAGTTTTCATGTCGTATTGTAAATTCAGGTTTTTTTCTCCACAAATATATCTCCTGTGCTGTGCTTTGTTGTAACATGTTGGAAGTTTCCATAAGAACAAAGAAATACTTTCAGTAAGGATTACATTATGGGTTTGGTAACATACCAAACTTGTTTGGATTTTTTTAAAGTTCTTTTTAAATGTATTGTATATTGCACACTGTAAAAGTAATCTGTTCCTTATTACTATATATGTGCATTGTTATCTGTTGGGTAGGTTCATATCCAATTCTATGAATACACATTTTTTTATTTGTGCTGCAGAACAATACAGATTATCTTCATGCTGTTTGTTCTCTTGCTACGTCAGCTTAACTGAAACTCAGGGAATTTTATTTATTCTATTTAATTCATTTTAAGAGCAAAATAATAAGCTTTTAAAAGATTTAGAACTGACCACTTCTGTGCTGGCTTGTGGAGGAGGTCGGGTATGTCCTAGCTCTAATACTATACCTTCACCTATTATCAATTTCTCTCTTAGTTTTTATTTGACAAAAAAATTGTCAGATTCAGTTTTAGTCTGATGCAGAATGAAAACATATTCCAGCATCTTGAAATATATGAGAAATTAAGTCTTATATTCCAGGGACTTTGGACAGGGCCAGGACACCAGGGCTTACTGTCTACTTGATGGTAAGAGGCAGTAAAATGTAAAATTCAGGTAGTTCATGTTGGTCCTACAAGTTTTCAAGATGTTCATGATATATCATAGAACAAAACAGTGGCAATATTGTTAAAGTACCTGTAATTGCAAATTCCAATCTTTTTCCTGTGTTTACAGCATAATCTCAGATTAGCTTGAATCCATCTTCCTTTGCCGTTAAAAGTTTTTAATTTATTTTAGAGGAAGTATGAAATAAATGCACACAAAACTTTGGCAATACTGTACATTGATCATGATCTATTTTTTAATTGCAGTTTACAGACAACACTTTAAGGACACCACTTAGCTGAAAACAAAGACTTGCTATCACTTTTTTTGTTTTGGTTTGGTTTTTTGGTTTTTTTAAGAGGCAGGAAAGCAAAATGAAGGAAAAAAACCCCAGAAACAACAAGATGAAGTCAGACTGATTTATTCTGGAGGATCACTATCTATTTCCCTTTCTTTTCTTGGGAATTCATCCGAATGCTAACTCTCACAGAGACTGACCACTGTAATAAAACCAGTTAACAATTCACAGCAGCCCTCCTCCATTGTTTTGCTAGTGAAAAAAACTGGGCAGCTATGAGTGACAGTGGGCTTCTTGTCGAAGTTTTTTTAAAAATACAAAGATGATTATCTTTTAGGTAGTTCATTTCAAATGGGGAAACAGGGTCATCAGAAAGGAAACCCTATACATTCTCCTCACAACAGGGCAGGTCTTTCAGGCTCCATAATAGGCACATCCTTTAGCTCTTAGGGATTTTCTGCACTTTCTCAAAGGAGTTAAAACCAGTAGTATGGCTAAACCCAGACTGCCAGACCATACCGAGGTCTTTATTCAGACAGGAGGACACTTGCAGTGCCTTCCTGAATGTACAGCTGGTTGTGGCCCAATCTAATTATTAAATAAGAACTTCCTTATGAGAGTTAGAGAGAGAAGAGTTTATGCTGCCAGGAGTACAAAGTTTAGGGCCCAATCTGACTACCCACTATATGGATAAAATCTGTGAAAGAGCAAAATCTGACCTTTTTTTATTCATCTTTAGATGATTTTCTGGTGTTGCTGATCACTGAAAGGTTCTTTGTAGCCTTCTGTTCTAGCATTGAAAATAGACTGTGTGTTATTTCATGGGATTAGTATTTAATCAGCTCATTAACATCATATTTAATTTTCCCTTTTATTTACAGGAGTGGCAGGAACCGCCGTGCACACAGGCTGTGCCCCGCAGAGGTGGAGTCCATGAGAGATGTCCTGGCACACAATCTGTACCACGTGCGACAGAGGGTGGGTGAGCCACCGGCTGCTGCTCCCTGTTTGCAGACCCAAAGCCTCTGTTTGCCCTCCCCGCAGTCCAGCACCGTCGGCGGCAGCAGCACCAGCACAGGCCCCAGGGGCACCTGGTGGGAGCCCGCAGCCGCTACGAGCCGGCACCTGCCCGGGGAAGGGATAGAGGGAAAAAGCCTGCCCTTAGGCCCCCTATCTATGCGGAATAAAGGAAAGCTGATTTTTTTTCCCATCAGCTTTTCACCCTGATGGCAGGGCGAAAAGCCAGGAAAATCTCTGACTGAGCTGTAGAGGTCAGGCTTCCCTCGCTGCACGACTATACGGATGGGAAACAGCCTCCACAACGCTGCCTGGGCTCCCGGGGAGGGCTGCTGGGACTCCAGCGGCAGCGAAGCTCCCCTGCGCAGGTGGGCGGATCGGCGGCGCTAAACACTGCGCAGCCCTGCGTGAGAGCAGCAACTCACCTGCACCACGGCAGGAAAGAGAAAAATTCCACGTCCTCCGTAGCTTCATTGTACTCATTCGATGTTCTTTGCCCCCATAAAGCTGGTGTGATAATACGTCAGTAGGGATTTGTTTTGCAGAAATTCGTACTGATCCTGATGCAGCCCCGTGTGTAGTATCGACTTAACCCAGTCTTGGGCCCTGAATAGACAACTAACCCACAGCAATGAGTGGTAGAGGATATATTATAGTAACCTTGAAATGACACCAATAAGTGAGGCTAACCCATCTAAGACACATATACTAGAAAATGCTAGGGCCTGCTCATTTAAATGTGGCATTATTAATATGATATTCATTTCTAGCATTGTTTGATTTTTCCCTGGCTAATTATCCTTATGATATTAATTTCTTATCTTACCAGAAACAATTGGCATACATGGTTATCTCAGATTACTGAAATGAACTCTCCCTTCAAAATCAATTACAGTAATGATTATTTGAACCAGTTGCTTCCTGTGTGGTATTGAGAACTGTGTGCTTTTGGAAGTGGAAGATTGGAAGTAAAATAATGCCACTTCTAATACTTCCCTTTTTGCTCTGAAGGCCTGGTAATGCTCTGGCTCACCAGATCACCTTTACAAGAAGCCTTGCAAATGAGGCTGAGATTAGATTCTACTTTCTAAGAGGGCTTATAAACTTCAGCGAATTTTTCTCTTTAAGGCAGATAATTATTTCCCCCATTTCAGTAGATGTATGTGATAAATTAAAAAGTTTGCCTTAAATGATGCTCAGTTTTAGGGTAATATTAATTTGTAGTTTGTGAAAGTATGGAAAGGAAACTCAGCCATACATCTCATTCTGGAGATGTATTCTTCATTCCTGAGCACATCTGCAACTTGCTTCTGGCTCAGTAATATTAGTACCAAAGCTCAGAGGTGAGTTAGCCAGTTATCTCTCTTTTGAGGCCTGCCTCATACCTGTAGCTCCCAATTTGTGTGAAGGGGTGAAAAAGGGAGGACAAGCCCAGAGGTGTTAACAGCCTTCTTAACAGGTGGTTATATTTTTATACACCTGCACTTCAAGAGTCTATAAAAAATGGCATCAAAATGTAACCCTTGAGGTGTGAAACTTACAGCTGTGTTCGTGCCTCCTCCCATCTTACTGTGCAGCAGTGAGGTTTGTGCAAGAGTGCATTTTCCTGTGTGTTAGCAAAGAGATCAGTTGGTGCCTGAGCTGAGGCAGATGTACCCTTGGCCCTGTGACTGACCAGAATTATTAACACTGCAAATGCAACAAAAATCAGCTGAGTGCACTTTCTGTTTCAGGCACCACCATACAACCGACACAACCTACCTACCAACACAAATGAGACACAAGCGCAAGAAATCCTCATCCGCCGGCAGCACAGCCTGAGGCAGAGTTGCAGGAAGGGAAACAGCTTGCCCTGGAGTAGACCGGTACCTATTGTGTAAACTCTCATTTATGTAAAAATGCCTCTGCTTATCTGTAAATATGGAAAGAGATACACATTTTTATACGCTTTTTGCTGTAATCAAAATGGATACTTTCCCCAGTATGCTCATGCAGCACCTAAGAAGAAAGGGGTTCACTTCACATGTGAACAGCAATGTTTTTAGGTCCTACCTCTATACATTGGTCAGAGATCTGCTGCTGGCTGCATGTAGTAAAAGAATTTGCATTGGTTTTGCATATGCAAAACAGAGTATAATCAAAGAAAGCCTGATGCCAAGCCCCTGACACCTTGCACTGACAGTTTGGACTCTTGATCAATAAAAGATTTTTCTGACCAAATGTAGGCATTGGACAGCATAGACATTTATACCTGAGATAATCATAGTTAAGGAAAAGAAATAAGTTTTTGCTGGATAGATTAGTTTTATTTAAATTTGTCACCTGAAATAGGAAAGGTGAATCTTAGAAGAATATATTTCTCTCTGCTGACTGTAAAAAAACCCTCTAGGACTGTTATATCAGACAGACACTTTCACTGGAGCTGACATTGAGTTCAACCATCCAAGTTAAGCACTGATCTTATTCATACCTCTCAAAATCTGGCTGTAAAATGCAGCATATAATCATCCATCTTTACCATTCCACCAAATAAACGCCAAGTGGAGGTAACCATGGACACTGAACACACTTCTGTCTCATACACAGGTTAACACCACGGAAGTACGCTACCTCTCTTTGCCTCAGGGCCCCAGACAGACCACTAGAGGAAAAGCCAGGCACGTTACTTTTACAGGTAATGGAACTGCTTTACTCTGTATTCTACTCCAGTAATGAAACTGGGGCAGTTGTTCAGTGGACTTAACATTATTAAATTAATACTTGCATGAAAGTCCCTGGCCTCTTTAAATGAACTACACACTTCTCTCCTTTCTGTTTTATCTATCTTGTTTTTATGGTCATTACTGCAGCAGTTTCTGTCTTGTTCCAGCACCTCCTAGTTTTCCCTTTTTCCCTCTTGCACAAATATTCCCGAGATCCCTGCACTTCCACCTGGCATTTGTGTAAGCCCACGAATGCAAATAATCTGTTCTCTGCAGCCCCACAGACACAACTGTATGCAAAATTGTTAGGAGTTGCTGGACCTGTAGCCCAGTCCAGGCAAGGCTGACACATGCCCCCAGGTCCTCCAAATATCAAGACTGGGCAGATATTACCAGCAGGCCTCCTCATTCCCTAATTATGTGCACATGTACACATGGCCAGACACAAACAGCAGCACAGACCAGGCAAAGTGCTCACACACAAGTAAACAGCACCAATGGCTACATTTTGGTCCTGTCTCTGGCTGATCAGGCTGATAGACTATTAGTGAAAATTTATAAATACAAACATGCTATCTGAATCCCCAGTAGCTGGTCTCAGATAGATGGTCTGCTCAGTAGCTGGCCCTGGACCTTCCATCTGCCCATTTGGTGTCACTTGGGCATGTAAACCCCTAGGGAGACAGCCACATAGGAGCTGCTGGTACTTAGACATGCACACACACAAACATGTGCAGAGTCTTCCACTCTGTGCACTGTAGGACCCTCCCGTAGCTGGCCTCGGGCAGCCAGTCTTCCCTGTAGCAGATTCTTGGATCCCCTGGTCTCCTCCTGCCTCACACACAGGGACACATTATTTATGTGAACCTAAAAGGCACTGGTGTTCTTATAAAAATTCCTTTTAATTTCTGGCAAAATTAGCTATAGTGACTGAAACCATATTTTTTATCTTCACATTTGTATCAAAAACTTGGACAACTTCTGCATGTGCAAATTTTTTTTCTTGCCTTTTTGTTTTACTGTGAAAGAGATGAAAGCAAAAGAGGTCTGTGTAGGCAAACCATACTGTTGGTAGGAGCAGGTCTGAGACACCCAGTGTAATCAATGCACCCTAGAGCCAAACTCCTGGTTTCAGATAAAACTCTTTTCTTCCTAGTTGTTAATCACAGGTCACTGGTAAACTTGATATTTGATGTCACTAGAGTCTTCTCCTTTGTCACATTTTTGTTTTCTGCTGTGAGTTTCAAAATGCTTTTCAACCATGGTACCTACTATGTATACTTGTGAAATTTGTGGAAAATTGAGAACTACATAAAGGAGCACTTTTGCCCTGTGAAAGCACTGGACAGGTCTGCGAGACATCAAAAGATAGCAGAATGCGCTTATTTGCTGGGGTTTCAGAGTAGAGGCAAGATAAATAAAATCTTTTAAACATCAGCTTTAGGATGAAAATAAAAAAATAAGGTTATTTTTAGTTCTTGACTTCTTTCTTATTCTATAGTAATTATTTAAAATGCTTCGGTTACAGAGTTTAAAACCATAATGCTGTATTTTATTGAATGCTCTTGCCAATACCATGGCAGTTCTCTTTTCTCTTCTTTAAAATATTAATTATTTGTCTATTTTCCTTTAGATCAGCATAGAAGTGGCTCTGATGCTGCATTACCATTAATGTTCAGACCCCAGCCCCGACTACGGCCACTCGAAGCAAAGCACCACCAAGAAGAGCTGATTCCAATGGCACACTTAGATAGACAAGCAGGTCCGTCCAATCTGTCAGGTCGAAGAGGAAATTCAATCAGCCATCATCGTTTCACCAGAGCAGACAATCTAGCTCTAATGCCAAAGTCTCGGTTCACTGTGAGAGAAGTAGAGGAGTATGAGTCAGAAGAAGAGACAGAAACAATGGCACCAGCCAGGTCATTAGTTATATGAGGAGCAGAGAAGACCAGTGTTTGCATCTCTAGGGCCCCTTGTGCACTGCTCCAAAAGAAATAACAAAGCTCTTCTTATATGAACCAAACTATGATTTTCCTTTTGGGACCAGTGTCCTTGTTCTTGTATCACTTTCAAGCACTGTATCAAGTGGCTCAGAGAAGACTCAAATTTTTAAATGTTTATATCAAGCTTTCTTTCCAACAAAACACTGCAGGAAAGAGGAGAACATGATCTTTGCAGAGGTTTGAACCTGGATTTAAGCAACAGTAGTAGGGCTCAGGCAATGCTATGGGTAGAAGCTGATACTGCCTTTGTTCTATATTATGGCCTGCATCCAGAGGAAAGAAATTTGTAAAGGCATCCTTGACATGCGAATGCATAGATTGATGACTTGCACAGAGCTTTTGACCTCAGAGTAGCTGAGATATTCCAGGAAAAAGTTAAAAGCAGAAAGGCATTTTTAGGGCTTTTAAACTGAAGGTGCCTAAACAAGACCTTAAGTCAAAAGGATTTTTAGTGGACATTTTCAGCACTTGGGAATTTTTTGTCAGCTCAGATTTTGGCTCTGAAAAAGTGCCTAGTTAGTTGCTGTGATGGCCTGTAACTCCCTGTACTTAAACCAATTTCCTATCACCTGCCTACATTGGATGAATAAAGGAGGTATCCTTGTATGCACAAATCCAGAGGACTCTTCAGGCAGGGTGCTGTCAGGATACCTTTTACTTGTAAATGTGGGATGGCAAGAACATACACAATATTCTCGTAATTCAGCAAGTGGAGGCTTCATTGTAGAGTATCTAATCTCCATTCCTCACTCCCACTTTGTCTGCCCAAAATAGGTGGACCATTCTTCACAGTAAAACTGGACCAGCACTGCAGGTGGGAAGTAAGAAACTGGGATTAAAGGTAAAGGCTAACCTTGTAGCCTGCTGACTAGCAGGAAAGAGAGGCCCTGTGTTTTGCTCCCAGATTTTTGTAATGTGTCTGTCTATATGTCGCACAGAGAAGTATTTACCAAAAAAGCAGAAATAACCAGAAGGTCATGCACTGAAGCACATGACTTCCCAACCTTTCTGTGGAGCTCCCTTCCAAGTGTTTCAGTATGCCCATGCTCCACTCTCAATGGTAGGTCTCCCTAGTGGTAGGATAAGCAAGAAGTATGGTCTTAAGTAATTTTAGATAAAGGCTAAGTCCGAGACACCTAGTCCCTCTGATGGAGCTCTTTTCTGCAGCATTGCCACTGTCACCTGTGTCTTGAAACTGTACATGAGCTGATTTTATCCAGAGGGATGAACTGAATCCAGAAGTCCATCAACCCATCCTTACAGCTCAAATCTATGGTTAAGAAATGCACCAAGGTCAGACATGTTTTTGTCAAGTTTCCTTCTCTCTCCTCCACTCAGAGCATACTTAGCTGCCCAACTCAGGGTCTGTAAATGCTACTCCAAGAGTCAGAGAGATAAGAATTAGAGAGAGCGGTGCCACCTGTATGTTTTTTGTGGTTTTTTTCCTATTGTTGTTAAGCGTTTGTATGTCCCGGTCCATAAAAAACTTATAAGCGTAAGTTATGACTTCACATTTCTTACAAAGGATTTCTGAATCAGGACAGGTAGAATTTAACTAAGAAATTTAAAAAGCACCAACAGAGGAAAAAAATAAAAGCCCTTTCCCCCCTTTTCTCATGATTGCAGCTTTTATGCTTAGCAGGTCATAATGAATCATCTGTATTGAAATTGTACAAAGCTTTATGAAACTCAAGTTCTGTTTGTATTTCCTTATTGTGCCAGAGAAATTATACAACTTCCTTTTATGAAAACACTGGTACATTATTAAAACAGGGTAGGATTTTGCTTTTGTATCGACACTGAATTAGCAATGAAATACAGTTATGTACCTGAAAATCAACAAATAAACCCAGCTCCACCAAAGGAGGAAGTTCTCTACAGAGTTTTTAAACAAAAGCCTTGTGCCAGATCTCAGTCCTATAGCAAGTTATATTGACATATCATAAATCTAAATTAAAACGTGATATTAAGGGAAACAGTTATCATACAAAATCAGGTCTTAAATTGCACTGTGAGCCACTCAGTTGCCACATGATATTTAATTAAGGGCAAAATTAGTACCTATAAGATGTGGTCCATAGGCCACAGAGGTGTATGGAGTAGGGTGGCAGAGGTGTGGAACCTGCTTCTGCATTGCAGAGTCGTGAGGATGTGGGATCTCCAAAAGTGGCTGGTGGGTGATATGAATTGCTGGCAATCCTTGGGGACAGTGATGGAGAGAAAGTGGAAATTTGAAAGGAGGGGGAAGAGGGGATAGTGTGTCATCTTCAAAAGGAGGCTCAAGAGAGAGGTTTAACTGAGGAATTACTGTGAGCTGCAAATTCAGCATTTCCTCTTTAAGAAGATTTAATCAATGGCTTGTCTGGGGGAACTGGACTGAAACAAACTCTGGGAGATGAGGAGGATTAATGTCTGGAGTGGAATGGAAAGGGACTAGACATACATCATGGAAAAGAGAAGTCTGTGCAGTTTGGTCAGTATATGTTTGACAAACATACTCAAAATTGACTCCCAAATTCCTTAAATATTGTAAAAGTCATAGACCATTATATAATTACCCATTGTAAGTAGGCAGCAAAGCATTCCATTTCTAATGACTGATTTATATTAGAATTAGAAAAAAATAATTAAATCTTTCTAAAATACTAATAGTGCATAGATGGAGATTAATCTCTCTCTTCTGCTTAATTTCTAATCTTTTCTTCAATGAAACCAGTGGGCCAGAACTTCAGAGAGTGTAAAGCTGTAGAGCAACTACAAATTAATAGAGTGCTCTCAGATTTTTCAGTTTGGCCTCCAAACTTGTAAAGTCTATTTTTAGTTTTCTTTCCTAGCAATTAGTAAATAGGACTGGAAGAAAATTTCCTACTGTGCCATTAATTGATGTTAATGGTTTTGCTGGCCAACAGCCAAGAAGCAATGCTGCAGATACCTATATAAAATATGTTCTAAAATACAAACTTGCACATTTTATTTTTTTTCATTGTTATTTCATACTTGGGGACAAAAAAAGTTCTCCTTAAAGAAGCACATTACATATGTTTTAAATAGTAATAACTACAGCAATATCTTATTACAAGTAATTTACTCCATGTCTATAGGCTTTCAGGCCTGTCCATAAAGAAAACTGAAGTGGTTTAGGGAATGAATTTAAATCCACTGTGTGTGCACATTCTTAGACTCTTTAACCTGGGTCACATCCAGGAACCTTGTGCTGATAATTTACAAAGGTAAGTTAATTCAAGAGCTCCTATTTTATATCCTGGTACTCTGGAATTTAAATTGTATACTGATTTAAGGTGAACTAGAACAGGAAACTTATGCCCAGAAGGTGAAGAATTGTTATTCAAAATCTAGAGAGGAAACAGGAACTCAAAGAATTCAGACTATTTCCTTGGGCAGGAGGATAGTGCAGGACAGGTGAGTTTCAGGAAGGAATAATAATGAATAGCCTCTACCTTTGACAGCAGAAAAAATAAACCACAACCTTGCTGGGGTTTAACCACAGCCAGTAACTCAGCCCCATGCAACCACTCATTCACTCCCCCCCAGTGGGATGAGGGAGAAAACTGGAAGAGCAAAAGTGAGAAAACTTGTGGCTTAAGATAAAGATGGTTTAATAGGTAAAGCAAAAGCTGTGCACACAAAAAATGCAAAACAAGGAATTAATTCACCACTTCCTATGGGTAGGTGGAGGTTCAGACTTCTCCAGGAAAGCCAGGCTCCATCATGTGTAATGCTGATTTGGGAACACCAAACAAACACTGTCACTCTGAATGTCCTCCTTTTCCTTCCTATTCCCTCAATTTTATTGCTAAGCATGACACCACATGGTGTGGGATATCCCTTTGGTCAACTGGGGTCAGCTGTCCTGGCTGTGTCCCCTCCAAACTCCTTGTGCACCCCCAGCCTGCTCTCTGGTGGGGTGGCATGAGAGGCAGAACAGGTCTTGACTCGTCATGAGCACTGCTCAGCAACAACAAAAACATCCCTCTGTTATCAACACTGTTTCAGCACAAATCCAAAATACAGCACCATATGAGCTAATATGAAGAAAATTAACTCTATCCCAGCCTAAACCAGCTCACACCTGAACAGAACTCGCTAATCAATGAGAGAAATAGGACAATAAGAAGAGTTATAATGAGAAAAGAGTTTAGTAGTAAAAGCAGTAATGGTCAAATATTGCAATATTTTCTGTAGAATACTGCAGAAAACAGGAAGGAGTTTTCAAAGTCAATAATATGTTGTAAGCAGCCTGCAATACTTTCATATTTATTGCACAGTGTAGTTAACTGTTAGATCCTGCTAGTCTTGCTGCAGGTATTGCTTTTCAACTCATACCCCTGGCAAGTAAGAATGTGTAGTAAAAGGACAATCTCTTCCTTAGAGAGCTTAGCATCAGGGATACAGCAGCAAGGGCAGTGCCAGCAATCAGGACATGATAGCAGCTAGCACAGGGAGCACTCAAGCTGTGCCCTCCAGATATACCAGAGTGCACCAGAAGATGGCATTGCTATGGTCTCTCTTCCAGGGCCAATAGTGCTCACCCCTGTGTAGTCAGGGCTGCCTCTGCCATCTGTACAGCACCCAGATGACACGCTGGTTGTGTAATAATGCCAGCAAGCGAGGTGGGGAAGGATGTTATGAAAGACTCGAAAGCAGTTTCTGAGTTACACTAGTGCAAAAGCAGGGGGCGATAATTCACCTCATGGCATGGCTTAAAACTCCAGTGAGTGGAGCAGGCATGTGTCTATCAGAGCCAGAGAGGAGGAGCTGCAATAGGAATAGAGCAAATGTCCCAATGAGAGCTCTAGGTGGACTGATTTACTGCCGTGTGTGTGGGCCAAGGAAGTAGGCCGGCTTGAAAGACAGAAGTTCAGATATACTAAGAGCAGCTAGGGAAGGTTATGTGAGATTCAGAAAAGTAGGTCAGAATTTCAGGCTGGAAAGGCTGGTAGAGAAGACCATGTATAATGTGAGAAGGATAGCTTGATCCATATTTACAAGAGAGGTAGTTAGAGAAAGAGGACCAGTGATTTCTCCAGGGGAAATTGTCAAATTGCTATGAATGAGAACCATGACTTTTAAGTAACAGAAGATGAAAATAATCGTGAAGTGTTTCACCAGCAGCCTTTCTTGCTGGTGTGTCAGTTTTGAGAACTGACACTTTCAAAGTTTTTTTCTGCAGCCATTAGATCCCCAAAACTCACGTTTTATTGTCATATATTTGTGGAAACTACTATTTAGAAGCCTGTGGGAGACTCTGGAAAATATAACAAATGTTTCCAAGCTACCTTTCTTTATAGGTACCTTTTCTAATTTTCTCTGTATATGGATAAAACATAAACACTGAGAGTGGAAAACCAGATTACCTTATCTTTATATTTTGTCTGCTTTTTAGGCAGGACAATTACATTTATTGTTTTGCCAAACTCACTATACTGGAGAACCTTAAAATTAAAGGTGTGAGGTTATATGAGTAATATTCTGAACCAGTTAAAAGGACTAGAAATCTATTGAGCTAAGCTTCCTAATTCATTTCATTTTGAGAATCTGTCTCAATGTTAATCACAAGTGAAACTCTTTTTTCTTTCCTTTTTTGGTTACACAGGTGTGAAATTTCAAAAGTTAATATTGATTCGTGTTTACTTCTAATGCACCCATCCGCATGGAAAAATTCGACTACCTTTCAGTCATAAGAAATGAGATATGAACTGAAGAAAACTATACCAAACTCTGATTTTCAGAGTTTACTTTGGCAGGGCAGATTGCAGCCACATCAATAGAGAACAGCTGGTAAGGAATAAACATCCAAACTGAACATCATCCCTTACTTTTTTTCTACAGTCTTGCAGGAGAAAGCTAGGAAAAAAGGAAGTATCTGTCAAGAATAGCCACAGTGAGCTGGGGGCACAGGTATTAGCCATCTGCAACATCCCTTTACACATGCAAACACAAGTCAGATCATTAGACATCTGCTCAGTGCTTTCCCATCAGTAACTTATTCTGCTAAATATAAAATTATCATAAAAGAAGCTTGAAGTTAAACTGCTGTCAAGTATTAATTATGACTCATTATTTGATACTGAGCCTAATACCATTTGCTCCTTGCTCTAATGTACTATCAGCAGTGATACGGCGTGAAAATAATGAGTTATGCACAAATGTCAAAATAAAAGGGCTCTTACTTTTTTTAAAGATATCTTGGAATAAAACCTATAACCCTTTAGCTAGCTTTATTCACTACTTTATTTGTGGGTAAATTTCCCATCACAGCAGCTTGCAATGGGTGAGAAAGCAATATGTAAATGAAAGTCAGCTATCCAAATATATTCAGCTTCAATATTACATGATGATGAATATTGAAAATACTTGCAGTGCTGCTCAATGTCTTCTGGGTGCTGTATGAAGACAAAGTCCAGAAAGTTCAGCAGCAGGACATCCTGAGATTTATGCCAGTGTTAGAACCCTATGTGTAAGGTGGCAAAACTTGCACAAAGAAAATGAGCCGTGTGTACACATACTACAGGAACAGTGCCAGGAAAAAGAGACACTGGTTCCTTGACCCAGAGTCTACTTTTGCATCCTTTAAGCTTTCAGGTGACTGAAACCTACAGAAAGGAACAGAAGAACAAGCTGAAAGTCTTCATTCATCTCTGACCATAAAAACCGAAACAATCTGCACAGAAAATTGTGTATTGTTTGTGCACTGCTTCAAGCCAGACATCAGGACCTGCTGTTTACAAATGCCCGGTATCCTAAAAGATATCATAAAATGTTGCCATATTTAAGATATCTGTATAAAACACATGAAATGTGAAAA